GCCTCAACCAAGATTTACAAACAGTCCACAATGCCCACACTCCGCCTAGGCGCACAATACTCGTCACTACTCACCCACCGTCCTACTGTACCAAAGAACAGATCTATGCATCCTTTGATTAAACCAGCAGTTGCCCACACTTTGCCTTCCGCCGTTACCCTACGTAGCACATAATCAATCGCGGGCGACACTCGATCAAATACAATAGCATTGCGGTGCTTCTACAGCTCCCACATAGTCAGTAAGAAAATAGTGTGGAGGTCCTTGCAAAGTTCTAGTGTAGATCGAGCTACACGGTACCCTCTATCCATCCCGTCCAATGTCTTCGAGATTTGTGCTCGTGACAGACTTTTTCCAAGCCATGCAAGGTGATTAGCAGTGGTAGTAGGCCCGGGGTATGGTAGGCAGGCAGCGGACTCTATTTTATTCTATGCGCATGTGAACCTCTGCAGAACACGAAGAACTCTCTCATGCACATCTCTCTTCCCTGTCACTTGTCTCTCTCATTTAAAGTCTCCTGATATGCATGCACAACAATCTATCATGAGCTCACTCTCCTTTATTGTTTTCTCTTTTTTAACAGCAATTTGACGAGCAAACGCAAGCTTTCTCACACGCAGATTCCATCTTCACCTCTCTTTTTTTTGAGACAAATCTTCACCTCTCTTAACTCTTAATAAAATACTTCCTCTAGCCGGGCCAACATATAGTACTCCCGGTCATGAAAAAAATTGAGAATAAGGAATAAAAAAATGTTGGCCCAAGCTAGAAGCCATGCATGTAGAAAAATATGTTCAAGAAAGTTCCCAGATTCTTTGGACAAAACCACTGACGCCGGGCATGCAAGCAGACTAGCACTGTGCGCCCTGCAGCCTACCTCCTAGGTACCTAGGACCTATACCCTACCGCTCCACTACACTGCTTTACCTAGCTAAAACGCTGCACCGCCTGTTAATGACGCTGCATGGCTCCAAAAAAGCCTGCACCAAGCACGAATCTCAGAATATGTGGATGGTCGGGATAAGGGGTGATGTGGAGCTCAGGCTACAAAAAACCACTCTCGTCATAGTCATGCCACTTAAACCCACCTTGTCACATAGCCATGACTCAAGGGAGTCCATGCATGTCGGTGCCCACTCCTACTTCTCAAAAGCCTCGCAGATGGCCGCCCAGATCGTCCTACCAAACACACAATCAAGAAGGATGTGGTTAATAGTCTCCTCCTCTTGGTCGCAAAATAGGCATGCGTCCTGGTGCGGTAGTCCTCATCTAGCCAGCCGGTCAGAGGTCCAACATCTATTTCGTATGGCTAGTCACGCGAATAAGCGGCACGGTGATGGTGCCTTAGATTTCCAATTCAGCTCTGCCGTGGCCACAACAGCAAGAACTCCCACGGCACCTCACTACCCAAGTTAGGCCCAATGTCAGCAGCCCATGTTCCGTCCAGTACGACCTTGCTGACCATCCGCATGGATCTTATGCGTGCTGGGATCAAGCTAAGTGAAACACCAGCACTACTAGTAGAACTCTCACTACAATGTCCGGATCCATTACCAGGAAACGGCGATCGACAAAGCAGCTAGGACAAAGTACCGTATAAGACTAGCTACTACTGACTTGCAGCAAAATCCACCACTGTCTAAATTCAGTTTGCGCTTGTATATCTGTACTTGGGCTAAGCATAATGTCAGAGTTTGCACCACTTGAGTTCAGAGTTTGCAAGCCTGTATTGGCTCTAACAGACAAAACATAGTTCACGTAGCTTTTGCAGAGTCTGGCACAGTCCCAGAACCTGAGAGATTCTTTGGGCGAAGCCAAGTTCAACATTGTTGTTACTTGTTAACATTAGTTCTCCTCATGTTACTTCCTGCACAGGCGTGCCTCATGCTCGCTAAGATGCATGATTTTCAGTTTTCTTTTCTTAAATGCTTGCTTAGATCAGGCTGAGGCAAAGGACAAAAGCATTGCTAAGATAGCTTGTTACATGACGTACGTCGGAATCGAGAAGATGGAGATAACAACTAAACGCTTTAGGCTTTATCTCAAAAATGAAAATGAAAAACTTAACCGTGGTACAAAAGACATCTAGAGTAGAAGATTCTAATCGGCTCATATATCTGACCCATCGACACTGTAGACTTGATCACAGGCTCGATAGTTAGAGCATCTCCAACGGCCGCGCTATAGCGCCGCGCGGTAAAAACGCGTTAGCGCGCGCGCTGGGGCTGTTTTTGCGCGCCCGGCTGCGCTGGCTCCAGCAGCGGCGCTATAACGCAGCGCGCGCGCGCCGCTCCAGCAGCCGCGCCATAATGCAGCGCGCGCGCCGCACAAACCACATATACATTTGCAAGAAAATGATCAAACGAACAAAATAAAAATCAATACAAATAATTTAAAATAAATCATTACAACACAAACAAATAGTTTATCGTTCAGTACAACAACAAATAGTTCAAATATTACAACACAACAAATAGTTCATGAAGTTCATGCTCTTTGCTGTCCATGCCATGCCCATCACTCTTCAATTAGATCTTTCTGAAGTTCATTGTGCGTTGCGGGACGCCGAATGACATGATAGGAGGCAACAAAACGGGCTACGCTTTCAGCCCTCCGCCGCACTCGCACGAGATGTCCCAAGAGCTCATACTGTGGGTAGTCTAAATCTTGGCCACGCTCATTCTCGATGATCATGTTGTGCATGATCACACAAGCGTGCATGATGTACCAAAGCATTTGTTGATCCCAAAATCTTGCCGGTCCTCTCACAATAGCAAATTGGGCTTGCAAAATCCCAAATGCTCTCTCCACATCTTTTCTAGCCGCCGCCTGAGCATTGTGGAAATCAAGATTTTCTTACCTTCCGGTTTTTTCAACGGCTTCACGAAGGTTTGCCACTTTGGGTAGATGCCATCCGCTAGATAATAGCCATAGTTGTACGTATGGCCATTTGCTACAAACTGCACAGGTGGCAACTCACCGTTTGCAATCTTATTCATCAGTGGTGACCGGTTGAGAACATTGATATCATTCAAAGATCCAGGCATTCCAAAGAATGCATGCCAAATCCAAGTCTCCTGATCGGCCACCGCTTCAAGGATTATAGTGGAACCCTTTTTTGGCCGTGGAATTGCCCATGCCATGCCTTTGGACAATTCTTCCAACTCCAATGCATGCAATCTATTGAGCCAAGCATGCCAGGAAAGCCGCGCGCTTTGTTCATCGCCAATAGCCTTGCGGCGTCTTCAGCAGTGGGAGCTCTCAAATACTCCTCGCCAAACACTTGCACAATTCCCACTGCAAAGCGCTTGACACACATGATGGCTTGGCTCTCACCCATAGCCAAATGATCATCAACTAGATCAGCCGGGGTACCGTATGCCAACATACGCAAAGCGGCTGTCACCTTCAGAAAAGTGCTATGCCCGAGCTCTCCGGCGGCATTCCTCCTTTGCTGGAAAAACCGGTCATGGCTCGCTAGTTTCTCTGCAATGCGCCTGAACAACTCGGTGCTCATCCTAAACCGGCGACGAAAATACGACTCTGGGTACGTGGGATTCTCCACGAAATAGTTCTTCATCAATCTGTTATGGGCATCAATCCTATCTCTCCAAATTTTCTCCCGACCCATAACCGAACCACCGTGCTTCGGTTTTTTATTGATATGCGTAGCTACGATCATTGCAAGATCCTCCTCCTCTTCCATATCAAATTCTTCTTCGGAAGAATCATACGACGAACTCATCTACAATGTTCAATACTATACTATAAAAACTACAATTCAAAACATGCACCAAATTCATGAAGTTTGAACAATACATACCTTGTAGGCGTTTTGTCAAACACCTTGCGGGCGCGGCGCGGCGGCGAGCGCTCGGGCGCTGTTCCTCGGACGACGGAGGCGCGCGGGCGACGGCGGTACTAGGAGGGGATGGGCGGAAGCGCGGGCGCGCGGGGATAGGCCGGGGAAGCTTGGAACGGTCGCCGGGGTGCGCGGCGGCGGCGGCGGCGCGGCCGGTCGGGGTTGGAAGCGCGAGAGGAAGAGATGGCGCGAGCGCTCGAGTGTGCCGCGCGCTGTACTGGGCGCCCGAAATACGCCGCGCGTGTAAGTGCTTTTGCCCGCGCGCCCAACCCGTTTTAGCGCGCGCGCCGTTTTTGCGCGCCCGCTGGAGCGCCCCGACGCGTTGCGCGCGCGCTAAAAACGCCTATTTTGCGGCGCGGCGCTAGTTTTGCGCGGCCGTTGGAGATGCTCTTATCACGGAGATTTTCAGCTTCTGGAGGAGGCCAACCTCGATCGCTGTTGTAGCCTTGTCCGAGGGGTGAGGTGAGCGGGTTCCCATCCAACAAGTGTAGAGCGGATTCATCGTTCCCAGTCTTGCCATCCATCTTTGTTTGTAGACGTGAGAGCCTTTTCAGAACTGGGAGTGGGAAGCTGTCCTCCAGGTACCCAAAGAGCCCAGCGCTACTAATCCGCGAGCAGGAGGATCTGTGTTTAAAAGTGCAACTCCATAATACCTTAATTTCTTTTGATTATTTATATGACAAAACCGCCTAATAGGATTATAGGACTAATGATTTAGTGAGTTTATTTCATGGATTAGGGTTAGTTTCCATATACAGGTATCAGGTATGTATGGCACAACACCATCGCTAAATCAAAGGTGTTGTATCACACTCACACGACACTATCGGTATCTCGCCGCACCGCATGGCAGCCGAATATCCCGCCTCCTTCAGGCGAGCAGCCAAAACTTTACCGGACAAACAATAAGTAAACTACATACAGAACCAAGACATAATGCAGATACATAAATCAAGATTAAAGCTAATATCTTCAATTCCCAAGGCAAAAGCAATCAACGTACCACCCACTATAAGATTGGATATAAATAAAAAAAGTATTATTTTTTGTCACGAGAAATAATATAGATGAGAACATCTGATTTACGACATCTAATCTTAGATAGATTTCAAGAGTGTAATGCAACCTTTTTTGCATATTAAAGCTGGTACTCCGGAGGGAAGACCCATGTTGCCCCCCTATCGAACTTTGACTGGCTAGAAGTACCGGACTTCATGTTGAACACATCTCTCGTGTCCATAAAATAAATTGCATCTTCCTCCACCTCTCCACAAGGTGCCGAGTCAGACTTGGAGAAGTCCATGCTAACAAAGAGTGCTTGACCGCCGCCTAGCCCTCCGGTCAGTGGCACCCAATCGTGTGTGCTAAAGTCCGCTTCAAGAACATCCACCTTGAGAGTGACCCACAAAGTATCTGTATGGAATTGCCGTCGATGCCTTACCATGAGTAGCTTCCCATGCGACTCGATGAGGTGCCGGCTAATTACGGTGATATTACCAGGTTCGACGTCTCTGGCAATTTCTTCTGAGCAATTGATATAGCAGGGCATATGATTATTTTCTCCCTCTTCCTCATCTTCATCGTCTTCCTCTTCTTCATTCTGGTCATCGTCCTCCTCATCAAAAGTGGCCAATAATTCATAACAATCATAGCGGAGTGATTTCTTGATGACACGTGTTCCCATTGCAACCACGGGCCTTCCGTCTTCATCCAATGCAAGATCAAGGGGGGTGAGGTCCTCAGCCGTGGTGATGGCATATAGTTTATCACCAAGAAACGCGATGTCAATGAGGTAGGTATATGGAGCTGCCCATGGCTCCGGTGACCACACACCCTTCCCTCGCTGGAATACAATGAGCGGATGCTTCCTGTTGCTGGTGATGACGGCGATGAAGTCGTCGACCGTCGAGCGCATGAAGAATTTGCGGATGAAAGACCTGTCCTGGACGATGACGGCGTCGAGCTCAGGCAGCGGCAGAGACCTGTTTGAGAAAGGATTGTGCAAGACATAGTTATAGACGACGTAGTGCTCTGTTTGCTCGTCGTTGGTGTGCTTCTGGCCGAGGCCGAGGGCAAGCCAGTCATTGGTGGAGCCGGCAGTCATGGCATTCTTGGGGAGTTCGTGCATGTGGCCGCCGTAGGAGGTGGCGACGTAGCTATCCCAGAGGGCGACCCATGGCAGCGGGCGCGCTTGGGGGCCATGGTGGCGCACTGCCGAGTTCCTTGGACGGTGGACGGCGCGGCAGCGGGCGCAGTTGGCGGGGTCAGGAAGGTTGGCCACCAAGAGGGAGAGGAACTTGGGCAGGAGTGCGCACCATTGCAGGATCGACGAGAGGAGGCCCATATTGGAGAAGCTTATTTTTCTTCTCTTGATTGATTCGATTCGATGATATTTGTGTGCAGCCTCGATCGTGTATATCTTTACCTAATAATAAAGCAAATTGGGTTTCGGTCGTCCGTCATGGCATTTTCCAGAAAAGTCCCTGTGTTTTGATGAAATCAACCCGCGGTCCGGATTTAAGTCACACCCGAACCGTTATTTCACATTTTTCGAAACCCCCCCTGATGTTTTAGGCAATTCATCCGCAGATCATATCTAACTCAAACAAATGCTTTTTTAAATCATCCATATCTTTTAAACCGTAACTCTGATTTAAACATGTTATATATGAAATTTGATTAGAAAAATATGTAAAATATGAATATGAGATTATTTTTACATGTTAAGTATTTTAAATATTATTTTGGAATATATTTAAGTCAAACAAATGATTTTCTAAATTATCCGTATCTTTTAAACTGTAATTTCGATTTTAACATATTATATATGAAATTTTATTAGAAAAATGTGTGGAATCTAAATATGTTGTTAATTTTACCTTTAAATATTTTTAAAATATTGTTTGGAAGCAAACTTATAATTTATAGCGCAAGATCCAATTTTTTTCATACCGGCGGCGATTCGGATTGCAAATAAACACCCCACTATAACCATATAGGGAAAAGAAAATATCGCTAACTACACATGCATACCTCTGAAAAATGTCACCGGGGAAAACAATAGATTTCTTATCGCGGGAGTGAGAGATAGCGAGAGAGAGAGAGAGGGAGAGAGAGACGCCTTAGGATTAACCATATTCAAACACGTTTTTGTTTTGTTTTGTGTGAACACCGAGACCATCACCGGCGAGGGTGAGAAGGAGGATAAGCGGCAACACAAATATGATGCCTCGCAAAAATAAAGAAGATGCACCTATTGTGGTCTTGAATGATGGTTGTTGGGTTAAGAACGTGTGTTATGTTTTCTCTCCCGTTGCAACGCACGGGCTCTTTTGCTAGTACACCAGAAAAGAAGTTGGGCTGTCGGAATCCTATTATGTAGCGTTGGTCACGTATCCGTTTGAGTATTGGAGAAAAACTCGTTTACTATTGTTGGCCCGGCCTGGCGGCCCGGTTACTATTGTTGGCCCGGCCTGGCGGCCCGGTTTTCTTCTATCCGCTTCTTCTTGGACCTGAAGCCTCTATTAACGTCAGGCTCAAGATATTAACGTCAGGCTCAAGAAACACGTTGGCCGGCGCCGCCGCCCGACGACGAACGAGCCTGGCCTGGCCGGGGAGGAGCTTCGTGAGAAGCAAAATTGCCCGGTTGTGCTTCACCTCGAGGCCGTACGCTGACGGCCAACGCCGATGGCGTGGGAGGCATCAGTTCTTGTTCACCGAGGCGGCGATGGATTCACCACGCCGCCTCGCCTGTCCCCGAGAGAGGGCTTAGTTGCTGGTAAGTTACGGCGCAGACTACATAGGTCAGACGGTTGATAGGGAGAAGAGGAGATCGAACGCCCAGGATTAATTTTGAAAAGTAGTTTTTTTTTGAAACGCGGTCCCTTGGGCCTGATTCATTAAAAAAGGTCGAAGAGAGTTGTCCGGTTAATTAACGAAAAACCGGACTAAACCGTCATATCATGCCTGTAAAAACAAGGCACACAGGGCAACCTGATAACCCACACAAGAACGCACACACGCTGTCGAAGAAAAAAGCGTTGTCGAGGTAGCAACCCGGTGTCATCGGCATCACGCCTCCGCGAGGGCGACTCCGACTCCACCATCGACGACCATCAAAGCAGCCCTCACCGCAAACAAGCGCGGAGGCCTGCGCCGGCTAATGCCAAACAGTCAACCACACACACCGGCGACCAGGCAACTTCGACTCTGTTGACGAGCATTGCAGGAGAAAATCGTTAGGCTTGCGCCGAGCCAGCGCTGGAACCGAACACATGTCTCATGGCATCAGCACCGCAAGGGCCCCTCCTCAGAAGCTCCGACTTCAGGAAGACAAAGTGAGGCACGGCGACCCCTCGAACACGCCGAAAGAGACCGACTACCAAGACCCATCAACAGACCAACTATACCTGAAATCGCCATCGTTGCCACACATGAAGTCGCGCAAAACCACCACATCACCAGACGGACACCTGTCGACCGCAATGCCGCGAACGTCCAGCCCATGGAGCGCGTGAACGAGATCGAAAGTTCTTCAAGACGACGCCCCAAAGAGGGAAGCGACAATGCCAACGCCGTTGGCCGACCCTGTCGGGCCTTAGGCTTTCACCCGAAGAATCGGATCTGAGTGTGTGCGTGGGATGGTGATGGCGTCTCCAAGGAGGTGAAACGACGTCCACGCACGACGACACCGTCAGCTGGCAAGATCCCGGCAAGCTTTCGCCCGGAGCATCGCCCAACACCACACCCTCACGCACCGCACCTCCGCTGGCCCGCATGTCCCCGGCGTCGTGGCAGCGCCACGACCACGCCGGAGCCATCCACCTCACTGTCGGCAAGCCAATGAGCCAGATCAGGCGCCCATTCGCTTGCGCCACACGAAGGAGTCAACACCCGCCACATCGTCGATCTATAACCAGCCCGCATAGGAAGGAGGGGCCGCAACCCCACTCCATCTTGCCGGATCGGGTCGCTAGATCCGCATCCCGCTGCATCCCTGGCATCGGTCGTTGTGTGGCCGAACCGAAGAGGCACCGCACGGGCTGCCAAGGCGAGGACGTCGGGGCACCGCCACCAAGCTCGCGCAGCGCAGGAACGACCAAGCCTCTGAAAGTGCAACTAATCCCCGGGTTGTTTTGGTAATTCATAACAACATATAGCTCAACGAACTAATAGCATTTCAACTTAAATATTTCAGAAAGTTCAATGAATGGCATGGCATGGACTAAAGATGTGGACCCCTCAAAATGCTAAGGACAAAAATTGGCTCTTCATTTTATTAGTTCAGAAAGTTCAATCTCAAGACTCTTCATTTTATTTTTAGTGATCCAAGATCACATTGAGTCCATACGAAAGCCAATCCTATTAAAAGGGGATGAGGTGTTGCTTAATGGCTTGCTTGCTCAAATGCTTAATGATACTGCTCCTAAACCATCAGCCATTTTCTCCATCCAAATATGTCCAAAATCTAAAGTCAAACTCGGCCCTGCCGATTCTTTTTACCCCGCGCCACCGAGATCATATGACATAGCCACAGCCAGAAACCCTAACAGTTTGGTCACACCGATACGGATCTCAGTCTCACCGAGATGGCCTTGCAAACTCCCTGTGGCTTGTTGCATTCCTTCGGTCTAACCAAGTTTGTGAAATCGGTCACACCGAGTTGGCTTGACATTCACTCTGTTGCTTATTACTTCATTTCGGTCTCACCGAGTTGATGTTTTCCCTAAGCCCTAGCATATCGGTCACACCGAGTTTTTCCAATCGGTCCCACCGAGATTCCTAGCGTTCACATTTTAACTAATCGGTCACACCGAGTTTAACTATTCGGTCTCACCGAGTTGGGTCAAATGTGTGTAACAGTTGGATTTTGTGTGGAGGCTATATATACCCCTCCACCCCCTCTTCATTCATGAGGAGAGCCATCAGAACGTGCCTACACGTCCACTACTCATTTTCTGAGAGAGAACCACCTACTCATGTGTCGCAAAGGAATCGTCGGAGTCGCAAAGGAATTTATGGAAAAAGAACTCGTCGGCGCGGTCCATTTTGCCTATGCTAGAGCATCTGGGCAGAGAGTAAATAAAGACAAATCATCAATTTTCTTCAGTAACGGGTGTCCAGAAATGGTAAGAGCATAGGTGAAGATTATTTTACAAGTTCCCAATGAGAAACTAAGTGAGAAATATTTGGGGATGTAGGATCATCCAAAAATGGTGCCTTCAAGTATCTTGTTGACCGGCTGTGGAACAAGATTAGAGGGTGGATGGAGAAAACACTTTCAGCAGCAGGTAAAGATGTTTTAATTAAATCGGTGGCACAAGCTATTCTTGTCTTCTCGATGTCGTGTTTCAAGCTCCCACGTGGGTTGTGTGAAAAAATAACTTCAGCTATTAGGGCCTTTTGGTGGGGAAGCAAACAGGGGAAGAGAAAGCCCTATTGTGTTTCATGGGACATGATGACTATGCCAAGGTACATGGGTGGCCTTGGTTTTAGAGATTTTAAATTGTTCAACTTGGTCGTCTTAGCAAGGCAATCTTGGAGGATTCTAGTTTCCCTCAACACTCTTGGTGCTCGCATACTGAAGGTTGTGTATTTTCCCTCATGCTCCATCCTTGAGGCCAACTTGGGAAATCAAATCACCCTTCCCAGGTTTGGAGATCAATATTGGAGGGTAGGGATATCATGAAATAGGGCTTGGTTAGATGCATAGGTGATGGTTCCTCCATGAAAATCAGGAACACTGACTGGATTCCAAGACCGTAGTTCATGAGGCTCATGGTGTCTAGAGTGCCGGATCCACCGCAACTTGTCTCTAAATTAATTTATACAGTGAACGCCCGATGGAATATGGAGCTGGTAAACCAGGTTTTTCTGCCTTGTGATGTGGCTGAGATACTGCAAATCCCTATTTGCTTGAGAGTTGTGGATGATTACTGGTGACGGATGCATGAAAAATCTGGGAACTTTTCTGTTATGTCTGCTTATCGTATCTACTATATCTAAATAGAAGCACCCCACTACTTAATTTTTCTTGACATGCAGGCTATCCACGTCAGCGACTAACATGCAGCCATTGAACTAATTCCACCTCAGCAGTTTAGCTATATCATTAATTCCAAATAAACC